ACAGCATTAAATATTTCGGAGGGCCTGCTGTGCTGTTACACACTAGCAAGTGAGGCTATCTAGCTTCCTCTGGGAAAGTGCTCCTTAGCTTAGCCTGCTAACCTTAGCACTGAGTACTGCTAGATATTACTTTTCATTCATGTTTGTGATAAAGTGATTTGTTCATCACACATCGTACAAAGTTGGAGTTGCAGGAGTGGCGACGGTAAACGAACCAGAGTGTAAAAACTCAACGGGTTGTACCGTGTCCTTTATTAGCATAAATGAATTGAAAGAATCCCTTTAGTTTTAAGACATATAAGACAATACTCTTTAGTTTATATGCAAGTTTATATGCTAGAAACAACATGTGTCCTACTTCACTGGGAAGTCCATTCACAAGTGTTTGTTCATTGGAGGTTTCTACTTTCAGCATCACACTCTGGTAACTTATATTGGACCATGATTTGGTTTCCGAACTAGTTGTGATGTCAGAAAAAAAATCTTGTACACACACACACACACACACACACACACACACACACACACACACACACACACACACACACACACACAAACGCCTTAAACTGAAATTTAAGGTAACCACAGAGAAACTTCCCTCCCTCAGCAGATGAATAAGAAAACAGCCTTTTAGTGAACAGTTTCTATTCTATTCTACAGTGTGAAGGTCAAACATCCAAGCAAAGTAAAAAAAAATGAGCAAAAAACATTTTTGAGTGGAGAGGGACTTTAAATTTCAGTAAGCATTTAAGTCAATTACACACCCGTCATTGTCAATAATATTAGGCAACATTTCGCATCCCTGGTATTAAAGGTTTGGTGTAAATCAACAACATCAGCAGCATCCCAATTATCTGGTTCAGTTCATAAATCTCTCCACTGTCAGGCGTTCAGAATTCATTTAACATGACTCTTTTAGTCGAGCGATGCTCCTCAGCGTTCATTTCTCTACAAGTCATGTGTAGCCAGGATACAGCAGAGGGAGGCTTTCCTTTTGCCTGAAGAGCCTGAAGCAATAAGGTACAGTATGGGAGCTACACGGTGTCTAGCCCCAGGCTCCCAGGACCACTGGGGTGATGCGTAGAATAATATATACTATACACCACATCACATCACATAAATATATATATATATGTACACATAAGTAGTAGTAGTTACGGCTGACTGACACATGAACTACATGTGGTTACATCAGTTGTAGTCTCAGATGGATGTTTTTTTTTTTTTTCCTGTTCTTAATAATTTATTTTCTCTTTTACTTCTGCCTTTGTTCTCTTTAAATGAGCTATTAGTTACTGGAGATTTATATTCAGCCTAACATGCCTCACAGGTGTTCAGCAGGACATCTACAGTTCAAACATTGTTTTTAATTCTTTATTCATTTTTTTAGCATCTGATTGTATTTCACATGAGCAGACGTAACACAAACATAAAGACATAACGCTTGCATCCACTCTGCAGTCTGTTAGCTGTGAGCAAAATGGTTGGATTTGGAGTGTGTGTGTGTGTGTGTGTGTGTGTGTGTGTGTGTGTAGTGCGCCTGATGTGTAGTGTGCTGTGCTGTGTGTGTGTGTGTGTGTGTGTGTGTGTGTGTGTGTGTGTGTGTGGTGTGTGTGTGTGTGTGTGTGTGTGTGTGTGTGTGTGTGTGTGTGTGTGTGTTGGGGGTGTTGGTGTGTGGTGTGTGTGATGCGGAGTTAGAGGGTGAGTGATGAAAGGAGAGAGCTGATAGTGATGCTCTATTGAATACAGATGAGAGAAAGCCAAGCAGAATTCTGATCAGGCTGCCTTCCTCTCTTTCTTCCACTCTCCCTCTGTCTCTCTCTCCATCCCTCAGAGGGGAAATACTTCAGAGAAGTGCATCTTTCTGAACTAGGGGGGAAGTCATGAGGTCAACCTTTCAAAGTCAAGGTCCGGGTCTTAAAGAAGCATCTATTATATTGGGTTTTTTTTTTTAAATTCAGAATTAACAAGAGGCTGGTCTTTGATGGTCTTGATATGACGCAGTATCTTATAGAGAATTTGATCATGAACTGAGACTCTTTTTTTTTTTTTTTAATGTTTGACAACACTGGAGGCCAAATTTGTTAGCATTTTTAGCAGCGTTCTCTGGCTGGTTGTGCATTTTTGAAATACTCCAACAGGGCTTTCACACATTTCAAGGGCCTAAGGCTTATAAAAGTCAGTCACCGCTGTAATCACCAGCTACTCTTCTAGTCAAGCTAAGAAAAATAATTTTCAAAAGTTACTGTATGTCAAAACTGATATTCAGCTGGGTTTAGCGGTTAGTTATTCAGGAGACAGAGGTGAAACCTCAGCCTAATCTGTATAATCTTGGTAGGATGGCAGCTTTGAGATTCATTAGTTGGAAAAAAAAAAAAATTGCACTTTTCCACCCTCACACAGAATACAAATGCTTTTTGTTGAAAAGTCATTGGGGTCATCTCACCGGCTCATTAAAAACAAGCGAGGAAGGAAAAAATTAATGGAGCCAAACACCTTCGATTTAATTCGTAGGAGGGTGAAATAATACAAAGTGCCTCGCTGTAGTAAATATAGCCACGTAAAGTTTTGTGTCGTTCGAACTTCTCGGCAGTTGTAGAAAGATGAGAGTGGAATGTGCATAAAAATTTAGAAGCACTCTGACACGCTAATAAAATAGAGGTTAAGTATAATGCTACTCCACGGACTCATTACAGTTATATTCAAATACTTGAACTGGTGTTTAAATATTTTTCGTACCAGAGTCACAGCCTCTACGACAGCAACAAACTGCTCAGGAGTCAGATGAGTGTAGACACCACAAGACCCAATGTGATTTGTCCTTCGATGTGATTATCAACACCATGATTGGTTGTAAACCCTGTTGTCACGGCAATGATTTCAGCCTTGATGATGAAAACTCCCGGGACACTGATCCATAGCATGCACGTACACAAACACACACACACACACACACACACACGCACAGAAGCAGTCTGTCTCACTGCTAACCAGTCTCATTCCCCTTTGAGAGAGAGGCATTAGTCTGCAAGATTGAACTTGCGTGTGTGTGTGTGTTGCTGTTGTCTGTCTTCGTACTTGCACAGTAATGTACTGAACAGGAATCTGGGGAAAGGAGTGAGCCTCACTGAATTGTACTTGACACTTTATTCTTTCTTTCCTTTTTTTCCCCCGTACCCCCGACCCACCTCTCTCTTTTTTCTCTTTCTTTCTCACAGCTGTTATTAAACCACTTTGACTCGGTTAATAACATCTCTGTCACACTCAAACACACAGGCAGAGGCAGAAAGCAAGTGTAACCGTGCCTGTCTGCTACACTAACATTACATTCGTACATACCAGACCCCAAAGGGTATACTTTGTGGGATCCCAAATGCGGCTACAGCCTGTAATCATATTTTATGCTGTAGTTGTGTTTAGTTGTACAGAGTTTAGGGCTCTGTAGTTTTTTAAAAGTCACTTCTGGGCCCATTTATATCTGCTCTTCTTGGGCACAGTACACAGATAATGACTTCTGGCCACAGGCTGGTGTAACTAAGGCCCAGCTCAGACCTGGCATTAAAATGTGTGTTGCGATCACTTGCGATCAGATCTCACTTCCTGCTCTATATGCAAATTAATACGTATTCCTGAATGGGAAAGTGGTCTTTTGGACCCCACAGTGCATCATTACTGTTTGCAAAGACCAAATGCCTTATTGTTTCTAGCCAGTTCAATGATGACGGACGGGTCCATTTTCAATGTGTTTGTGAGAGAGAGAGAGAGAGAGAGAGAGCAAGAGAGCGGGGTAAGGAGGGGTTGAGCTAATCATTTCACTGCGCGCAGCTCAACAACAATGAAATAAAGTTTTAACCATTTGAAATAGTAAAATATTTTTGGTTGATAATGAAAGTGTGGAGGGTGAGTTCACACCTGTACTCAGAGCTGTCCACTTGTGATTGGATCACCTGCGATGCATGTTAATGTTCTGAACAGGGCTTACGCGTCCTGTGCTGAGTCCAGTGTAGACCTGGGGCCGGAATAGTTTTTCACTCTAACTGAACAAACGTTATTATTACATATTACATATTATATTCAAATCATACATTCATATGTTGCAGTCTTGCACTCTGTGATGGTCAAGACTTAGCTAAAGAAGCAAACCAAGGCAGAGATGCAGCCGCCTTCTAAAACTAGCCACATCTACACACCATATTAGCACTTAATTAACTTGATTGAAGCATTCAACAACCTACTGCTGCACTGGCTCGGCTTATTTCCGTTTGCCGAGGAACAGGTCATCAGTGGCTTTTTGCTGGACCTGCTGGAGACAGCTGGATGAGGCTTAATTAGGTGACTTATTAACTTGTTGCATGGATTTATTCTTATAAATGCTGGTGAACTGCAGCGACTGCATTTAGAACTGGCTGAATATTGATCATAGTGCAAACCAAACCACCTCCAGATCTGATCTGAGCAGTCCAATGGCAGGTTTCAGTGCCTTCTTAATACGTACATACATTCCAGATAAGATATGAAGTTAGAGATTACATGTTTTAAAGATGATTTTGGCTTCTTTTTTTTTTTTGATAGACAGTGAAGATAGAGGCAGGAAACAGGGGCGCCCTAAGCATTAGGCCACCAGGGTGCCCCCAGCTTGCGCAATAATAACCAGCTGTGAATTGAGTCTTGATGTCAACACCATTATTTATATTTCTGTCTTAATTGGTTTCCTCTCATTTGTGTTGTGTGAGGTTTGTTGCCAACCCGAGCATCAGGATTCTGCATATATATCATGTTCTTTAATATCATAAAAGACATCAACTACTGCCTACATAGGCTTATTACCTTCTCTACCCTCTTTGCTATTAAACAGTTGATTTATCTTTGCCTTTATTGTCTTCTTGCATCAATACGTCTGAAACTGTTGTTGTCGTTTTCTAGTTTCCTCTGACTCCTGACTTTTATGTTTCTTAATGTCTCCTCTAAATGTTTTTTTTTTCTCTTTTTTTTTCCAACAGGGGCTAATGATCCTCCTGCAAAATCTTCCCACAATGCACTGGGGCAATGAGGAAGTGAGTGTGCTGCTGGCCGAAGCCTACAGGTTGAAGTTTGCCTTTGCCGACGCGCCCAACCACTACAAGAGATGATAAGCGTGGCGCTCTGCAGCTGCTCCCCTCCTCCTCCTCCTCTTCCTCCTCCTCCTCTTATTCCTCCTTTTCCTTCCCCACAGTCGTCTACTGAACTTAGAGGCCTCTTTTCCTACAAGGAAGGACCTTCCCTTTTCTTAACCTCCCTTTCCCAAATTGCCCAACGGGCCTTTCAGCTACTAAGAGATTCGAATCAGCCAATGACTGGGAGGACGTGTGGTGTAGCATTCTAACATGTTGATGTGGAGCCTTTTCTTTTTTTTTTAAATTATTTTTTTCTCTGATCAGCTCTGAAATGTGCACTCCTGCAGTCCAGTGCAGATCCCTCTTCTTCATCGTCAAAGACCACACCACAACTTTGTGTCGGAGTTTGGTTCGCTCAAGCTGACACCTCAAAACTACGACCTCAGGCCTGATGCAGGACCACGAGCCTTTGCTCAGCGCCGCCTGAGGTCTAGTCTGGCTCAGAAGAATGTTCTTTCCTGCTTACTGTTATTTCCAATACCATGGCAATACATTGTTCTTTGTTCCCCGTGGCAAAGATGTGACCTTTTTTTTTTTTTTTTTTTTTCCAGTTTGCAAAGACAAAGAAAGATGGCAAAAGGGCACTGAGCTAGACGGTTTACATATCTGAGCCCCTCTCCTGGTCACAACACAACCCGGAGGAACATGTCCTCTTCTGTTCTTCTTTTTTCTCCCTCCTGCATCCTGCCGGGAGGGACACAGATTGTTTTCCTTCATGAACACGCCGGGATTTCACAAAGAGAGAGAGAGAGAGAGAGAGATTGTCAGTCTAGAGGGGAAGAATCATGTCTCCTTCCTTCCACAAACCACACACACCAGCTCAATCCTATTCTCCCACCCGCACTCCAGCATCACAGCGTTTTGAGTGTAAGACAAACAGTGGTAAGAGGCTGCAGGTCAGGAGGGTCACACATACGCAGATGCGCATCAGAGGTAATAAGCCATTAGGAGTAAGAAGCTACTTATTCCCACTCATTCGATTTTCCTCAGACCTGTCTTTATGAAGGACCATGTCTTATCTATTATCTATTCCTCCTCTCTGGACCTAAGACTACCTCAGAACACACGGTAACACACAAGTCGTAAGAACTGGAAATCCACTCACTGAGGCGTGAATGGACACACAACACACGTTGGCGCGTATATTGTGACTTTAAAAAAAAAAAAAAAAAAACACACACACACAAACATGCACACGTCAGTATGGGCTCAAAATAAACGCTTTCTGTTCATTTCAGAAATGAAATTCTCATCAAAGAAGCTAAATTTGTGAAATTGTGAAGTGAAGATCAAAATGAATAACTTTGGCTTGTTAAGGTACAGTTTCTGTTTTCCTCACCCACTCCTCTCCTCCTGTCTGATGGGCCCTGTTTTCATGGGTGTTTAAAAAAAAAAAAAAAAAATGCCACATGCAACCTTCCAGTTGGTTGATTCGGTGTAGGTGGAAATAGTCTGACATTTTTCCGAGGATAGACTTCATAGGACTTTCCAACAGCAAGCACAAATGAAATGTGTTTTGTAAATGTGCAATAGTTCACAGAATAAGTTCAAACAGAGATATTTCTTTACACATTCTCTGGGCAGGAGTTCCACCTCAACAATACGACTTTAATTCAGGTGAAGTTTCAGTAAGGATTTCCCTTTATGCGGCTCTACATTAATCAGTGATAGTTAATATAGTTCTTAATATTCACCCATAAGGCCAATCTTGCCTATAAACATATGAGAGCCGATTATGGGTTTTCTTGCAGCCTCTATCTCTAAGGACGTCTTGCACATTTAGAATGTAGCTGAACATGCTTGATCCATGTTGGTTCACTTAATTGAATCATGTGTAAGCGGCAGTGAGCTACTGCAAAATTAACAACATAACATCTCTGCTAGTGTGCACTGGAAACAAGTACGCTATAACTTTGGTTTTCTGCAGCTTCCCAGTGAATGCAGTAAAAAAAATCATCGGCGATGTTGGACAACATCCTGGAGTTGTGCTGGACACACTCATAATACACTGCTGTGCCTTCACTCAGCTTCAGGACCATCGTTGCTCCTCTCTACATGTTATACAAAAAGTGAAGGTAATCAGAGTGTAGCTTTGCACACCATTGCGTTATCCTCCGACTGGCAAAAGTAGAGTTCATTTTTAAAATTTTCTAAATGCATTTTCTGCTGCAGTAGGAGTTTGGTTGCATTTGATTGTGTTTTCCCATAAGTGGAAAATCTGGTCTGAACGATAGAAAAGCAACAGGCTCAACAGATAACTATTATTATTAAACATTACCTTTAATGTGAAATCCTTTTCAAGCTGCACATAACTGAACAAAAACCGCAGGTGCTTTTAAATACAAGCTCATCATTATTGTGCACATGACCTTCCACTTAACACCGGTCATTGTAATCATACCATTACAGTAGCTCTGTCTCTTTCACCATCTTAATTGCGTGCATCGTCCTGTTCATTTAGAGCACATGGGATATCTTACCAAAAGTCGGTAGCACCATACTGGTGTAACGTTGGGTGGAGGTGGATGGAGAGGGGGGAGGGGTAATCAGACATTCATGACATAACACAAAGCTGTTAACGTTTGGAGCCTCCTGTCGCGACTCCGCCAGGATCCATTATTGTCATCCCGAGCCCCGCAAAGACGGTGTGCATAGGTGTGTGAAGGGGAGATGGAAGGAGAGAGGGAGCGAGTTGTGTTTCTTTGGAAGTTTCAGGGCTTTTTCTGTGAGAGCTGTCAGTCTTTGATCACACGTCGGGATTTTTTTCACACAGCCCGCGCCAATTCACAAGCCCCTCATCTCCCATGCTTTCTGACAAGGAAAAACTGCACTTAATTTAAAAGTCTATAGCCTTTTTTTTCCCCCCTCTCTCTCTTTTTGTATCAGATATATTCTTTCAATCAGCATTTTAAAGATTTGTCTTTCTCCTTTTTTGGTTTTATTTTTTTATGCTGTTTACATGACAAGTCTATTAATTTGTGCCTGACTCTGGAGACACGAGACAACATCCTAGATATGTTTTTGACCTCAAATTAACTTGGAAAGGTTTTAGATTTCTGTAAGCAATAGTATGACATTTTGAATTTGCTGTGAAAAAAAACAGAAAATATCTTATTTTTTTGTTTGCACATCTAGTTTTTGGGGTGTGTAAGCCGCCAAGGTAAACTGTTTATTTATCCTATGGGCATTTACACCATATTAATAGTCCAAACTTGGCAACTGACTGTTTGCTAAACCGCTCCTGTGCACAGCAATCGTCATAGCTTAGTAACCATTAACTGAGCATGGTAGGCCTGTCGAGCTTTACATTTCTCCACATGCTGAAATGGTGCGTTTAGGGCCTTCAGCATTTAAAGAGTTTGTCTGTTTTTTCCAAAGTCAGAAACACAAGCAGTAAAGTGTAAGGAATGTACAACTACATTAGTTTGTGCGATTACACTTTATGTTTAAAAAAAAAAAGGAAAAGGAAAAAAAAAGGTTGAAGTGTGTTATTTCCCCAAGCCAGTCCTGGATGCTGTGTTTATGCTAACGCTAGCATCACCATCAATCAACCACCTGCCAACGTTACCCAAGAATTTCAATATTTAAATCTGCCACCATTAAAGCATGTGTCGCGAATGGAAAGCTTGACAGGCATAGTAACGGTAACTAAGGGAGGCGGGGCTTAGCAGACAGTCAATTGTTGTGTTGTTTATTGTCCAAAGCCCTACAACTATAGTTTTTAAGATGTTATGTTGCCTTATTGCACATGTTAATATTGAACACTGTGGGGGAATAAATGCCAGTGGTGACAAAGGATGTTAAGGGCAACAGTGTTGGAGGTTTACAGTTAGTTTACTGTCTGTGTGTGTGTGTGTGTGTGTGTGTGTGTGTGTGTGTGTGTGTGTGTGTGTGTGTGTGTGTGTGTGTGTGTGTGTGTGTGTGTGTGTGTGAGAGAGAGAGAGAATGTGAGAATGTGTGAGTGATGGGCAAACACTGTAGGCCCCACACCCCCCTTCTCCTTCCTCTTTTTAAATCGTTAGAGGAATTTCTCAGTTTTTGCTGTAATGTCACATGCAGTAATTTCCCTTTAACAAGAATTAGCTGCCTGTCGGATTTTTGTGAAAAGAGATGGTTTAATAAACAAACACATAAGCACATTCAGTTGCTCTCAGTGTCAAATTAGCCTGGCTGTAGCCCACTGGCTCTCAGCACACACACGTCTCCATGGTGATGAAGGCCTAGGTGCTATCTGGCTGGAGCCCTTTTTCTAATAGCACACACACACACACACACACTCACACACACAGGCAAACTTCAAACATTCTTTGGAGCATCTTCAGGAGGGTATCCTTAAGTAACATTTTCAGCTACTTTCATTTCTTTTAGACTTTTTTTTTTTTTTTTCTCTCGCTCTACTTCTGCAGACATGAAAATATGTTTATGAAAACCAAACTGGGGGGAAGAAAAAAAACAACCCTCCCATGTGTTTTGCCTCATGAGCACTCAGAAGAATCTAATAATACTAGAGCGTTGTGGGTGACAGGAGTAGTGGCTCATGAATTTAAAATGTGTACAGAGAAGATTTTGAAACAAAAATCTGTAAATAGAAAGTGTAAATAAATCCTATATATGACAAAAACAGCTTTGAATTTGGCGTCCTGTTGTGTACGAGCTTTCTAGTACTGTTGTGACTACGTATGCGAGAGTGGAGGATATGGGCTGAAGGAATTTCACTGCATCTCTAAATATTCCATGTCCAATTGGAGTCAATTAAACTCAAGGTATGATATGTTTCAGAGCATCATGTCCCCTGTGCCTCTCAATATAAACAGCCTTGAAACCTTGTGTCTGTGCATGCATTAGCCGGCGCGGCGAGCAGGCCGTGGCTAACAGCTGCGCTAATGTGCAGCGTGTAGGTAATTGTACCGGTTGTATTCATACAGCATTCCCATTCACACAGTCTATCAGGTAAACACCTTCTAGTCTGATCCCTCTGGAAGAAATGGCAGCAGTAGCTCGATTAATGAGGCTTTTTTCTTCCTGTGTGTGTGTGTGTGGTGTGTGTGTGTTGCAGATGACGGGAAGGAAAGACAGAAGACACAAAAACGAAAGTCAGCTGCATTCACTTGCAAATGTGAGTGCATACCTGTGTGTGTGTGTGTCTGTGTGAGAGAGAGAGAGAGCACAAGCAGCAGCAGTATACGCTCCCTCGCTCTCGTTAAGCTGACTGATGTTCACACAGGCAGCCAATTATGGAGTGCCGGTCACTGAGGACTCTAGTCGCTTCATGGGAAATTAAAAATACATTAAAACCAACAATGGTCGCAGGAAGGTGCCTGCCTGTTCACGTGCACGCTCCCTCTCTCTCTCTCACACACACACACATTAGGGTAGTAAGAGAATTAAAGATGGAAGAAGTGCCCACAAAGAATCAGCTGGAGCTCGCTATGAAGCTAAAGAGATATAGCACAAATATTAGCACAATCAACTTTTCTTTTCATTTTTTTTTCCTCACAGCCATTTTCCTCTCTTCATATTGAAGCTGTTTACAATTTAATTCTACAG